AGAGACAAAGCTAAAAGAGGAACCTGAGAAAATCCTTCTGATGGTGGAGTTCACCGTTTGCTCTGAGGAGCTCTGAGTGAGCACATCACAGGCAGAACCCGCATTTTCATCTCTCAGGAGCCCTCTGCCACCGGCCCCACTTCACAGATGAGAAAATGAAGCATCTATCCTAGATCTCACGGCTGCAAGGGGCATAACTGGGATTAAAAACTCAGGTGGCCACTTTCAGAAACCAAGCTCTCCACTCTACTGCCACATGCCCCGAACAATAAGTTAGCTTAAACCTTAAATTCTACAGGACTGTTGGCATCCCAGCTATCAAAGTATGCAGTGGAAGCTATCTAAGCAAAGTATCATGTACAAAATGTAAGCATGAAGACTAAAGCACAAGATGAATGGGAAAATTATCAGGTGTGAATAGTTTTGTTGGAGAAATTCTCTGAATGTGCAGGAGGTTGTTCTAGGGAAAAAAAAAAAAAGTCCAAGATCTGTGCACTTCTAAGACCAGTAATTCTCAACTGCTATATCAAAAGCTGTACGAAACTCAACTGTTACACCAAAATAACATAAAAGACAAAATTTTAAAGCTCACCTCATTTTTAAAGCTGTTAAATTAGTATTTACTGATATCCATGTGTAAAGGATAAGTCGTAAAGGAACATAAGTCAAATTTTACCTACCAGAGGAATTCACTCATTTATTAGATGCCTCCTCTAATCGTATCCAAGCACTTTTACAAGAATTCTTCTAATCTTTAGGCAACTATACCAAGAGTAGGTGCCATTCCGCTTTTAGGGATCATTATTTATTTCACAATTAAGAAACATGGCTAACATGTTGAATACTACCCTGAAGCTCCTTTCTACAAATTTTATGCTCAGCAACACATTTACTGGCACAGGGAGGTTAAATAATTTATCCAAAACCACACAGAAAATAAGTGGCAAAATGAGGGTGAAACACCAAGGGCCAGAAAGGTTAAGCAACTTGCTCCAAAGCCACACAGCTGTCAGATGTCAGCCATGGGCTGGTGGGCCTTACACTGCAAGCACCTGCCTGATTTCACTCTCATTCACTGGGGCCAGATGAGCGCAGAAGCCAAGCAACCCAGCTGCCTAACTCCCTTCCTAATGGACCAGGCTTCAGCTCTTCAAAAGAAGAAACTGAGTCCTTGATAAAAATTCTCTACATCTTGAAATACTGAAATACTCACTGTTTTCTGAAAAAAGCACCCTGTGAGCAACAAATATGCACACAGGCGATTGGCGTAAAACCACTTTTACTTATTAGAATCTTAAGTCAAAATGTGAGCTACACGGTCACATCTAAAAATGTCAGAAATTAGTCTTTAGGCCAACCTTATTCTCAAGTCTTCTACAGTCAACCAAGATTTACACTGAACTTGCCCTTGACTGAAACTTTTACTTCTGTTAATTCCCTACTAAGCAACCCCCTCCTTTTGGATTTGCAGCCGTGAAAAATATCTATTTGAGTTGCTGAAACTACATATGAAATTTTGCATATTTGGATTCCTGCAAATGCCTTTTAATCCCACTTTGGAAAAGTTACCATACATGAATGCAGCAAAATAAAGCACTTCCTACATCCTAGCCTGCCAACTCCTACATGGAATTCATTCCCGAGAAAACGCTGCGGCAGCAGCCCAGACCACTTCTAAGGGTTCCTGAGCTGCCCTTCAGGACGCCGTGGCTCACTAGGCTCATTTCCTCGTGTCCTTCTTTAATCAGAAGACTTGAGGAAATGAGTCAAAATCCTATGGTTGACTTCTAACGGCTGTCAACAACAGCAGCAAAATTCATCACCACAACATCTGTACACAAATGCGCTACAAGGGAAGTCCACAAAATACTGGGCACTTTTCTGATGAGAGTATCTTTTGGGAAAGGTAGGTGGGAAATTGTCGTTTTTGTCTCATCATGCTTATCCAATGTCAAAGCTACTGGTATCTGCCACTACTAGGGGCTTTCTTTTTCACAAGTAGGTGTACAAGTCTATGATACTAAAGCAGTTTTTATTTTTCAGCCTGGGGGATGAATTTCAACTGACGTGCACCACTATTGTGCAGATAGCTTATCTCTCTCTAGGGACCCTAACACCTAAAACCTTCACACCGCAGGCCAGATGCCTGCCTTCCCCAAATGAGCCCTTCCCCAGTGAATATTTCCCTAAATTGAGAGCACTTTAATTCAAATGCCATAAAACAAGCAATCCAAGGCCCTTTTCAGGAAAACCGGCCATCCTATAAGGCACACATTCAACATTTCTGAATGAGCCTCATTTTACAACAGATTCTGGTGAGCCATGTAAATGGATGTGCAGTTAGGCATATGGAGTTGAGCTCAGTCTCTTCTATTGATTATTTTAGGCAAGTGACTTAGCCACTTTCTCTAGTTGTAAAATAGCAGCCATAGTAATAGTACTACTTCCTGGGGTTAGAAGTATAGTAAAAAATAATAGGTAAAGGCCTCACTCAGCACAGGGCCTAGCACAGTTTGCAGTTATGAGCCAGGACTAAGTACAACCCACATGCAATATATATGAAATTTAAGGCAGGTTAGAAAGCTCCTTGCGAAAGTCCAGCATACATGATTTATAGTCAGAAGGAAAAAAAATATGTGGATGCATAGGGAAAAAAACAGAATTATTTGAGAATCCTTACAAAAGGATCATTTTATTCCCAGAAAAAATGATCCAGAAAGCCCTGCACCAGGTGCCAGGAGGCCCTCCAGCCTCACATCTGCAGGAACAGGGGGGAGAAGGCATGATTCACTGTTCATGGCAGGTTCATCCTGTTGGTCCCTGCTGTAACTGCTGAGGGTGCCAGGAGGTGGTGATGACACAACTGAAACCTCCTAACCCTTAGACAGCAATGCTTAGACAGGGACAAGGCAGTGGGATACCCGCAGGCACCACTATCAGGGTCTGGGAAAGGACTGAGAAAGCAAGCTGAGCCTCCACTCAAAAATCTAGAGGAGTATTCTAAACAGGAAGAGTCCCTTCCTGGCTTTGACTCCCTGCAGTTCACTCCTGAGGAAACTGGACTCCCTAAAATTGGCATGACCTGCCCAAGGGCACACAAACAGTGCATGGCAAAGGAAAGGAATCAGAAGCCCACCCCAAGGCCTCAGCAGCACAGCATCAGCCTGGCAAACAGAAGGTCCTGAGTTCTATTCCCGGTACCAAAAAGTAAGGGAAAATAAAAACCACCTGAGGGGCAGAAGGCTGTCACTATACCAATAGGACAGATCTTAAATTTTTTGCCAATAAGCTATTGGACAGACTAGGCTAATCATGAGGGGCATGGGGACTATTGACATCCACAGGGGTCTAGTTCACGTAACTTTAATGACATTTAAAAAGGCAAGGCAGAAAACATATAGACCACAGGGCTAAGGCTTCCGGACACTCTCTGGTGGCCCCCCATAACTCCTCCTCGGGCTCAGGGGTCCTGATGGGAAGCCTCTTTCCCGGAGGAAAGCCCGCTTTATGTCCCTCAACAGTGGGGTAGGGTACTGGGTCTTGAGACTTCACGGAGAAAAACTGACTAGTTGTCTCACAGCAGGTCACTATGATGCTCCATCTCCAGCGCTGGATTCCTCCGTAGACTCACTTTCTATCGTTACATCATCGGGTAGTCTAAACGTTTTTGTTTTTTAATAACCAGAGAAAGAGCAGTGCTTGGGGACTAGCCAGGCACGCACACCAGCGACACCTGGACAAAAAGGAAGAGAGGCAGGAATCTGACTCAGGGGCTCCCGAAGCCTGCAGATTCCTCTTGTCCTTGAGATCCGAGTTCCCGCGCCCATACAACTGGATTTCCCCAACAGCCAAAAGAACCTAATGAGAGCCGCAGGAAGTTCTTACTCCACCTCCCACCCCTCACCTCCGGCAGCCCGGAGTGTAAATACCACGTGGGAGGAGGTCCGAGAATCCCAAAATTACAGACAAAAAGAGACACCTGCGATTACAGGTCACCGACATCCCCCCACCCCGCCCTGGGGCGCGGGCTTCCAGAGCCCTGTCAGGCTGGCTGGGCATCCTGGCCGGCCTTGCGAGGTGGCAGGGTCGGGGACCGCAGCGTCCCAGCGCTGCTGTCCCTGCCTCCACGGAGCAGACGGCCAACACAGCCTGCAGCCGCTCCTCGGCGCGTGGCAGCCAGCAAACGGCACGGCTGCAGAAAAGGGCGAGCCTCCAGCACAGAATTTACAAAAAGCACAAAGTCTGCAACCTAGCGGCTGCTTGCTACACGCCCTGCTCAAGTTGCCCGTGCAGCAGCCACCGAGCTCGCGGGGTCCCACCCCAGAAACGCACGCCGCGCGCTGCCGGTGCAAAAGCACATCCCGGCGCCTGGAGCGCGGCCGCCTCACACTCGTCTCCACGCTCCACGGGTGGCGTCGCGCGCGGGCAGAGGCACCAGCGGCTCGGTCCCCACGCTCTGCGTACAAAGACCGCCCGCGGTTGGAAAGCAGCCGCCGCAGAGCGAAGAAAAGGCTCTCCAACTTTGCCCTCGGCGCCTCCGAGGACCTGCGGGCTGGTCCTCCAGCGCGCTGGTCACACACACGCAACTTTTAACAAAAGGAAGCTGTGGCCGCGCCTCGCTCGGCGAGATAATGCGCTCCGTGCTAACTCCGGGCCCCCCGCCTCCGCCAGCCGCGCACCGTCGGCACAAAAGCAACCCTAACTCCCCGCAGCCTGCAGCCTCGCTCGTGGCCGAAGTCCCCTCTCTTCCCCTATTCTAGGAAGACCCCGGACTGCGCCCCCTGCCACCAGTCGCTGGGCTCTCCTAGCGCAGGTGAGCGAGGCAGGGCGCAGGAGTGTCTCGGGGCCGCCTGGACGCTTGCTATAGCCTGGAGTGCACCAGCGCCGCAGCCGGTGAACGGCCAGCAGCCGCTTCTCGGGACGTACCCCGGCGGGCTCAGCCCTCCGCCGGCACAGGCTTCGCCTGCTAGCGCGGCCCAGGTACCCGTGCGCTCTCTCACCTGGTTGGACGCGGAGCAGGAGGTACAGGACGCAGAGAAAATCCCAGGCGCCGCGAGCGCCTCTCATCGCGGTGGCTGTGGCTGCGCTGGCTTCGGAGCTCCGCTCCACGTTCCAGCTCTCGCCCGAGTGCACCGAGCGCGGCAAAGCCGAGCCCCCAGAGCGCCAGCGCCGAGCAGCGCCCCTCCTCCTGCGCCCTCCCTCGCGCGCCGGCCACGCCTCTCCCCGGCGCCCCTCCTCGCCTGCCCTTCTCGCTCCTTCCCCGCGGCGTCTGGCCCCGGCCCTCGGACGTGCGGATCCCGCGGCGCTGTGCCCGCGGGAGGGTGCACGACTCGCGAGCCCTCTCCACGCACCCTCGACCCCGGAACCCCTTCATCTCTGCGCGTCTGCTCCCGGGTGATGTGGTCCGACCGCCCCAGACGGCTCCGGCCGAGGGCGGTGCTGCCAGCACGCTTTGTGAAGCCGGGCACCCCGCGCGCTGCAGGCACCGGCCCGCCACCTGGCAGGTGCTCCCCAGATAACAAAGCTTGGCCGCCGTTCCTGGACCGCGCTCGGACAGGAGGAGGCTGAGGCCTTAGAAAGGGGGAGGTGGTGCAGGGACGGGAACCGCAGGGCACGGGGTCAGGAAACCGGGTCCCAACGTTCTTCTCCGTTACTGTTAGTCGAGGGGCGCAAGGGTGGCGCCTGGCACCACGGCAAAAGGCTGGGCCGGGGTTTAGGTAATTCTTTAGGCTCAGTTTCTCCATCTGCTCCGTAACTTGTAGAACACAGTTGATTTCCATGGTTCGAGTGGCCTTAGCTCCCACCAAGCTCCTGCTGAGACTTATGCAGAGCCAGGTGGGTGGGCGGCAAGGAGGATGGGCGCCTTGTGGAGTTTGCTCTGGAAGCCCTGGTTTAAGTCCATTTGCTTCTGAGACCCTTTCATTTTTTCCTTCCTTTCCTCCTTCCCTCCTTTGTTTCTTTCGTTTTTCCTTTTCACATTTTTTTTTCTTTCCAGTTTCTCTGCCTCCGTTTCACAGAGCATTATGGGTCTGGGGGTCCTCAAGGACCTTTAAACTATCTAGACCAGGAGCAAACTAAAAATAAAATGTTTCTCATCAGCCAGACTCTGCAGCCTAGGAAGTGCTCCCTCCACTTCTGGTAGCCATCCTTGATTCACCCTACCAACCCTGTCTGTGTAGGGTGTTGTAGTTCTTCTTATCCTGTTACTGCATCCTCTCAGTGGCAGCTCTGTAAGTATGTAAAGCATCAGGATTTATTCTAGAAGCGGCCTGGCAAACAGAGTTAACAGTGGGGAAATCCTGGGCTTGAGCCTTTTCTTTAAGACCTATTCCTAGTATGCCAAGCATTCTCCATATGTTCTGATAAGCCAATAAAACATGGATCCAGAGATTGGAGGGTGGAAACTACCCATTAGGAAAAACAGAACTAGAATAATTTCAGTATATCATATATAATTTATAATTTCCAAGCTCTCCCACCCCATTTAATGCACCCTAAGACTCCTAAACAGATTTAAGAAAAATAGTTTGCAAAGATAACTACTAAAAACTTGTCAAACTAGAGGATGGCCAAATGATCGTTGTGTTTTACTGCCTACCTTTAAATTTCGTTTCATTTATTCATTCAACAGCCATTTTCAAAGGGTCCTCTGTGTGGCAAGGAGGAGCAGAGATGTGGGCCCTGTCCTCACAGGCCTTCTGGAAGACCACCCTGAAATATGCTAGCAAATGGTTCAACTTACACAGCTATGTGGGAGGGTCTCATCAGATAAGGCTGATTCCTATAGTGAGGGGGTACTAAGAATTGAACCTAGCACCTTCAGACCCAACCACAACCCTCCCATCTTTTTACACTTTCAGACAGTGGCTCACTAAGTCATCCAGGCTGCGCTGAAACTTTCAATCCTCCTATCTCACAGACTTGGCTAGCATTCTTGTTTTTTAGGATAACAAAGTAAAAGATACTACTCAAAGCAATCACAGGTTTCAGGGATCTTGATTTATTTCTAAAATCCATTTTGTAGTGAAGAAATCACTATGAGTTAAAATATCAACATTATGCCAGAGAGAGAAAAATTACAATTTTCTTCTTCAATCAACTGATACTGGAGAGGATAACGTATTCAGAAGAGTGGGTTGAAAAGAGACCATATTGCAATTTGATTCAAGGCAACAAACTTCTATGGGGGATAGGGAATTATGTGATGCTAGATGGTTGTTTCTGTTTGTTATTCCACAAACATTTATTGTGCATCCTAGACACTAAGACCGACAAAAATAAGACAAAGCCCCTGCCGAGGAGAATTCACAACTCAGGGTCGAACATAGTCACCCAGATAAGAAAGTAATATATCTGTTAAAAGAGCTCATGTTCAGCCAGTGAGCACCAATTCACCCATATTGGCTGGTGGAATATATAAATCCTTCTGTACTGATTTTCAAAAACGCATCCCCTAAATACCGCTTAAGTCCCCTCTTTCTAGCCTACTCTTGAGACACCTGAAGTCTCCTTAGATCCAGCAATTATTGATTCAATGCTGAGCGCAGCAGAAAGCCTGCAGTACCTGGGCTTTCAGGTTGTTAGAAATTTTTAATAAAACCCCCTGCCTTGTTTATAGTGAAAAAAGGGACCTACAAGGTGCTATTAGTGAAGAGCTCTGGGAGGAAGCCGTATTACCGATCAGCACTATCCAACACATTTGCAATGAAGGAGATATATCTCAGGTAGGATGTGGCGATGGGCTCTGTTCTGTGTTCCATGATAACTTCTTAACTCATGAGTTGTATTTTATATATTGTTTTCATAATTTTAGTGAAAACAGTTATGCAACTTATAGTAACACAGCACAAACCAACATAAGCAAGCAAAGAAACCTAGAGTTTGTCAGCTCTTACAATTGGAAACCTGGGAATGATGTGTTTCAGCCTTTCCTCGATGCAAGGACTCAAAAATCATCAGGACTTGAAGGGTGGGATATGACACAGGGTGTGTGTGTCCCCATGAACACCTCCGATAGAAGAGTTCTACAACTGCAGGGTGGTAGCGTACGCCTTTGATCTCAGCACTCAGGAAGTTGAGGCAGGAGGATCTCCGAACCTTCAAGGCCATCCTGGGCTACATAGTGAGTTCAAAGCTAGCCTGGACTATACTGCAAGACCTTGTCTCAAAAACCCAAAATAAAACAAAGCAGAATGTGCTGTGACACATAAGATACAGTGGTGGTGCTATGTTCAATTGAATAAATGTACTATAATTCTGGATTTTAATCATTTCTCTACTTTTTTCTGCATTTTGTTTTCAAAGAACAAAACTAAATTTAATCTGAATTGTTTACAGATTTTTTTTTTCCTTTGGGAGAGGAGCTTTTTGAAATTGTCTCACAAGGTAATTCAGGCCAAACTCGAACTCATTTTTGGAGGTGGAGGACAAAGTCTCACTATGTAATTCAGGCTGGTTTCGAACTCGCTTTGTAGCCTCACTTTGTAGGCTTACAGTCACTTTGTAGCCAGTCTCACTGTGTAGTTCAGGCTAGTCTTGAACTCATGGTGATCCATCTGTGTTAGCCTCCCCAAAGCTGAAATGACAGGCATGTGTCACCATTCCCAGGGGTTTCTGGGCACATGCCTGAATCCTAGCACTTGGAGGCCAAGGCAGGAGGACTGAAAATTCAAGGTCAGCCTGAGCTACAAAGTAAGACACTATTAAAAAAAACAAAACCAAACAAAAAAGATGCTGGGTGTACTGGTTGCATGCCTGTAATCCCAAAACTCAAGAATCTGAGGCAGGAAGATCACTATGAGTTCCAGTCTAGCCTGGGCTAACCAGTGAGTGAGTTCAGGACCAGACTGAACTACAGAACAAGACCCTGTCTCCAAATAAATAAAAAAATAAACAACCCCATCTTACATGGAAATGAATATCTTGTTGAATAAAACTTGCCTGCCTTAGATTCCTAGAAAAGAAATCACCAAAGTTTTCACATTCTTCACCTTTGCTATTCAATAGTCTTTTTTCAGTAATCATCTGACACTTTTCTCCATAAAGCTAAAGAAATGAATCTGTGAGCCCCATTGTAAAGCTCCATGCTAACAATAACTGCGTCGTGGTTTGTGCGGATGAAAGAAGGCAAAGCTTGGTCTTCCCTCCAGCCTGCTTTTGGTATTCAATGAACATGCGCCCTATGTGCTGCATGAAGCCCTGCGATTAGAAAGTCCGAGGAGACACAGTCGCTGCCTTCCTGGGGAAAGGGCACTGGAGGGGCCCAGACTACATCGCTCTAAGTTGTCCACACTCCACATGGGGCAGCTGGGAGCCCCCAGGAGCACTTATATCATCTGTGCATGACTTCAGCCTTCCCCACAAAGGGTAGGAAGGGAGGTAGGAGAGGAAGGCAGTGAGATTGGAAACACCATGAGTGATGTAAAGAGCATGCACGGTGCTCGAGGACAGGGCTAAGGCTACAGAGGTGACTCAGAGCTGTGTATGGGTGGGTGTCGGGTTGCATATCTGTAATTCCAGCACTCTGAAAGGCTGAGGCAAGAGGATCACAAATTCAGGCCTAGCCTGGGCAACTTAACAAGACCCTGTCTCAAAATTAAGAAAAGAAAAAAAAAAACAAAAAAAAAAAAACAAAAACGCAGTGTTTGGGTTCAATCTGCAGTACTGGACAAAAACCAACTTGTAAATGCTGCAGAATATGACCTTCATCTTCTGGACCTCTGGAGACCAAGAATCACTAAGGAGTTCAAGCAGGGGTCTCATGATGTGAGTTTGTGCTTTGGAAAGATGACTCAGTGAAGGATGCATTGAAAGAGCGCAACACTCAGGCAGGAAGAGAACGGTGAGGAGCTTAATAGTGACCCATGGGAGAAAGGGGAAACTGAGGTAAGCGCAGAGGTGATAGTGGGGCGGGGAGCAGCCTGATGGAAGGTGGACTTCTTACCGCTATTGTGTGGGAAGGTGTGTGGGAGAGGGGCTCCAGGGCTGTGGCCCTACCTGATATGAGCTACCTGTGTCCCCCCAAGCAAGACGTGGAGGTAGGTTGGCAGAAACACTTTGGAGTTGAACCTAAGTTGGATCTGAGATGTTCATGAATTTCTAAAAGCCAGATATGCGGACCTGGGGCTCCACATGGGACCAGGTGTGGAGAGGCAGCTATAGCCACAGGTCTGGGTGAGGTCACCTGAGAGTTCAC